TATTGCTCGGGCATGCAGGAGTGAAATCAGGAAGGCCAAATCACACCTGGAGTTGCAGCTAGCAAGAGATGTTAAGAGTAACAAGAAAGGTTTCTTCAGGTATGTTAGCAACAAGAAGAAAGTCAAGGAAAGTGTGGGCCCCTTACTGAATGAGGGGGGCAACCTAGTGACAGAGAATGTGGAAAAAGCTAATGTACTCAATGCCTTTTTTGCCTCTGTCTTCACGAACAAGGTCAGCGCCCAGACTACTGCACTGGGCAGCACAGCATGGCGGGGAGGTGACCTCTGTGGAGAAAGAAGTGGTTCGGGACTATTTAGAAAAGCTGGACGAGCACAAGTCCCTGGGGCTGGATGCGCTGCATCCAAGATTGCTAAAGGAGTTGTGATTGCAGAGCCATCGGCCATTATCTTTGGAAACTCATGACGATCGGGGGAGGTCCCGGACGACTGGAAAAAGGCTAATGGAGTGCCCATCTTTAAAAAAGGGGAGAAGGAGGATCCTAGGAACTTACAGGCCAGTCAGCCTCAGCTCAGTCCCTGGAAAAATCATGGAGCAGGTCCTCAAGGAATCCATTCTGAAGCACTCAGAGGAGAGGAAAGTGATCAGGAACAGTCAGCATGGATTCACCAAGGGCAAGTCATGCCTGACTAATCTAATTGCCTTCTATGACGAGATAACTGGCTCTGTGGATGAGGGGAAAGCGGTGGACGTGTTGTTCCTTGACTTTAGCAAAGCTTTTGACACGGTCTCCCACAGTATTCTTGCCAGCAAGTTAAAGAAGTATGGGCTGGATGAATGGACTATAAGGTGGGTAGAAAGTTGGCTAGATTGTTGGGCTCAACGGGTAGTGATCAATGGCTCCCGGTCTAGTTGGCAGTCGGTATCAAGTGGAGTGCCCCAAGGGTCAGTCCTTGGGCTGGTTTTGTTCAATATCTTCATAAATGATCTGGAGGATGGTGTGGATTGCACCCTCAGCAAGTTTGCAGATGACACTAAACTGAGAGGAGAGGTAGATACGCTGGAGGGTAGGGATAGGATACAGAGGGACCTAGACAAATTAGAGGATTGGGCCAAAAGAAATCTGATGAGGTTCAACAAGGATAAGTGCAGAGTCCTGCACTTAGGATGGAAGAATCCCATGCACCGCTACAGACTAGGGACCAAATGGCTCGGCAGCAGTTCTGAAGAAAAGGACCTAGGGGTTACAGTGAACGAGAAGCTGGATACGAGTCAACAGCGTGCCCTTGTTGCCAAGAAGACCAATGGCATTTTGGGATGTATATGTCGGGGCATTGCCAGCAGATCAAGGGACGTGATCCTTCCCCTCTATTCGACACTGGTGAGGCCTCATCTGGAGTACTGTGTCCAGTTTTGGGCCCCACACTACAAGAAGGATGTGGGAAAAATTGGAAAGAGTCCAGCGGAGGGCAACAAAAATGATTAGGGGTCTGGAACACATGACTTATGAGGAGAGGCTGAGGGAACTGGGATTGTTTAGTCTGCAGAAGAGAAGAATGAGGGGGGATTTGATAGCTGCTTTCAACTACCTGAAAGGGGGTTCCAAAGAGGATGGCTCTTGACTGTTCTTGGTGGTAGCTGATGACAGAACAAGGAGTAATGGTCTCAAGTTGCAGTGGGGGAGGTTTAGGTTGGATATCAGGAAAAAAATTTTCACTAGGAGGGTGGTGAAACACTGGAATGTGTTACCTAGGGAGGTGGTGGAATCTCCTTCATGTCAAGGTTCCTCCCCCACCCTGAGCTCTAGGTACAGATGTGGGGACCTGCATGAAAACCTCCTAAGCTTACTTTCACCAGCTTAGGTTAAAACTTCCCCAAGGTACAAATTAATTTTATCCTTTGTCCCTGGATCTCCACTGCCACCACCAAACTCTAACTGGGTTTACTGGGAAACGTAGTTTGAACACGTCTTTCCCCCCCAAAATCCTCCCAACCCTTGCACCCCACTTCCTGGGGAAGGTTTGGTAAAAATCCTCACCAATTTGCATAGGTGAGCACAGACCCAAACCCTTGGATCTGAGAACAAAGAAAAAGCATTCAGTTTTCTTAGAAGAAGACTTTTAATAGAAGTAAAGAAATCACCTCTGTAAAATCAGGATGGTAGATACCTTACAGGGTAATTAGATTCAAAACATAGAGAATCCCTCTGGGCAAAACCTTAAGTTACAAAAAAGACACACAGACAGGAATAGTCATTCTATTCAGCACAGCTATTTTCTCAGCCATTTAAAGAAATCATAATTTAACACATACCTAGCTAGATTACTTACTAAAGTTCTAAGACTCCATTCCTAGTCTATCCCCAGCAAAAGCAGCATACAGACAGACACAGACCCTTTGTTTCTCTCCCTCCTCCCAGCTTTTGAAAGTATCTTGTCTCCTCATTGGTCATTTTGGTCAGGTGCCAGCGAGGTTACCTTTAGCTTCTTAACCCTTTACAGGTGAGAGGATTTTTCCTCTGGCCAAGAGGGATTTTAAAAGGGTTTACCCTTCCCTTTATATTTATGACACCTTCCTTAGAAGTTTTTAAGGTCAGGCTTGACAAAGCCCTGGCTGGGATGATTTAGTTGGGGATTGGTCCTGCTTTGAGCAGGGGGTTGGACTAGATGATCTCCTGAGGTCCCTTCCAACTCTGATATTCTATGATTCTATGATTCATAGCAGGTCCTGGGGCATTGGGCATAGGGATCTGTGGGGGAAGTCTCTGGGTGAGGGAGTGCTGGGCATACGGGCAGAGCACTAGGCAGGGGAGCAGTGTGGAAGGGGCATGCTGGCCGTGCAGGGCTGGGCGGGCCAGTATGTGTCTAGCAGTTGTGAGTTTGTAAACAGTGCCCTTGTGCTGGGCTGAGTGGGGCCACTCCTTCTGTGCTCGCCTCATTGCCCCCAACCAGCCCCTCGCTCTGTGGACCACCCCCCATCACATGCCCTATTTCCCCAATGGGGGCCCACAAATATGTTTGGCGCTGGGCCCACAAAAAGTTAATCCGGCCCTGGCAGCAGCTAAAGACTTATTTTGCCTTTTAGTCCCAGACTCCCTGATTTTACAGGAGGTTGAGTTATCAGTTCCAGCTACTTCTTCAGAAACTCCAGTACTGTCTACATCTTTGCTGCTGTACCACTCGACTCTGGCTTTGGTGCAGCAAATGTCAGTACCAACAACGAGCAAGACCTATGTGCAGCTGCAACCTAACTGTTTGGTACTCTCCCTGGATAAGCCTCTGATGCTTCTCCCTGTACCCACCACATCTGATTACAGATCTCAATTGCCAATCCGTTCTACATAGCCTGGCACTGCACCTCCATAGCTCTCTGACTATTCCTACTCTTCTTTGGAGTCAGAGTTGGGATCATACACAACCCAGTCCTGTTATAGGAAGTCTCATAATTCACCGTCCCCCTCGTGGAGATCTAGATCTTGGTACTGACGCTCTATCAGGAGCAAGTCTAGAGACAAGGGCCCATAGGATATTTTTAACTAGGATCCAGTACCTTATCAGTGGACATTCTGGAACCCATGTGGGGCATGTCACCAGCTTCCCATGTTTCCCTGGTACCTTGCTTGGCTAAGTTACCCCTGAGGAAAGGAGGGATGCCGATCGAATTCCAGAGCTCTTATGGCTGGATCCAGGCCCAGCTGACTGAGCCTCATTGCACTCACCTGCTTAACAGGGGAGCCCTAGCTGCTGCCAAGGGGATCCGCATGCTGGACCCCAGCTTCCCCTATCCCCTTCTCTTCTTCATCCTCTCTGCAACAGGGTCAAATTGTCATTTTCAATTCAGGATGATTATAAGACATACTGTAAATGGGGTGAGCTACCCTTATGCCCCTCCTCATGGCCAAGTGTGGCCCTGTCTTTTCAGAGAATATCCTTCTGGATTACATCCTGTATCTTCTTATGCTATGAGACTGCTAAGGTTTCCTCAAACTGAGAGTTTCAGAACATTTTACAAGAGCACAAGCATTCTGGGTTAGGTGATGTTTTCAGGGCTGTAACCTGGTCATTGGTACATCTTTTCACTAACAATGTGCTATCTCCCAAGCAGGGGCGGCTCTACCAATTTTGCCGCCCCAAGCTGCCGCCGCCGAATTGTCGCTGGCCCAGAAGAGCGGCGGAGCTGCCGCCGAATTGCCACGCGGGGGACACAGGCTGCCGCCCCATTCTCAGTGCCGCCCCAAGCACCTGCTTGGAAAGCTGGTGCCTGGAGCTGACCCTGCTCCCAAGCCTCAAGAGATTATGCCAGATTTGGGAGATCTGTCTTGCAGTCCTTGTGCAGGTAGACTCTGAAACCCTCCACCTTGTCAAACTGCGTGGGAGCCACCTGAAGGGGAATGGATGTGTGTAGGACATCTCAAAGAACAACAGTTACAGCACAGGGTTTTTCTGTCTTCTCAGTCAATGCAAACTGAAGAGGTAATGACAAAAATTCAAACAGAATGGGCAGGAAAGTTACACCACCCTTCTGCTAGGTAACTAAACTCTCAAGTCTGCAAAGACATACACTGGGACTACTCATGTACTTAAAGTTTAGTCTGTGCCTGAGACTTTGTAGGATCAGAACCCTAGGTCAGGATACAAGTCTAACTCCAGTAGTGCAGATAATAAACCAGTAATCACATATACTGTAAAAAATTCAGACCTAACACAGCTATAATGTGATGACCGACAAAAGAAGGCGCCCAACCTAGCCAAGGCAAGGGCAGAGTTTCTGAACAGAGGGAGGAGCTGTGCTCTTACAAGGTGAAGGGGAAACAGTAATAATTTATGCTGGTGGTTTACAGTCAAACGATCCCTCTGGTTAAGGAACCGACCCGCCCGGCTTTACTACGCTCCACCCACGAACTCCACGCTCCGGCTTCGCGCTGCGGAGCCCAGGCGAATACAACCCAGCGCCTCGTTTCGGCCTCCGCAGACTATTGGATGGACTCGCGGTCACAGCCCAGTGCGCCCCGCCCCGTCATTCGGCGGAGTCGCCGCCCGGCAGCCGCGCGCCGCTGGGTGCGTGTGGGCTGGGGCAAGCACCCGCCGTCCGGGGCGAGCCCCGCTCCACAGCCTGCGCCGAGGCGCGAGCTCCCTCCCCTGGGCTCGCGCCAGCAAAGGCTCCCCGCGCTCTCGCTCCAGCAGCCGCTGAAGTTCAGTCCAACTCTGCCGCGCCTCCTGCGGAGCCCGGCCGGCCCCTGCGCCCCTCGCCGGGTGGGCTCCCTCTGCAGGCGCGGCGCCCCGGTCGCCTGCTCCCCGGCGGCCCCCTGCAAGGGAGCGGGTGCTGCCGCGGTCCTCCCTCCACCCCCAGTCTCTCCTCAGCCCTCAGCCCGGCCCGGCTGGGTGCTGCGGGACATGAGCCTCTCCTCGGCGCCGGCTCCTTTCGCCTTCGCTTTCGTGCTGTGCTTGGCCGCGGGGCAGTCGGTCCCCATGAGACAGGTGGGTCCGTCCGCGTCCGTCCGGGCCAGGCGCCCCCACCGGCTGGGGCAGGGGGCGCGGGGTTAGCTGCAGGGCAGGCGCTGGGGGGGCTCTCGGCGCTCTCGGCCGCCCGCTGCCCCCCGGGGTATTCGGGGACCCAGCTCGTGGGGGAGTCGCGTAGTTACAGTTTCTTCCCTGTTCCTTTTGTGGCCCCCGCCTCAGAGCGGCCACTTGCTGGGGGGATGTGGTGCGTCGGCGGGAACGGGGGGGCTCTGCTTTCAGTCCCATCCCTTTGCTAAGCTGCCTGAGTGTACACAAGGAGTCAAGGGTCCTTCCCTGCATCCCCGCCCAGGGCTGGCCCTAGACCAAATGGTGCCGCGCCCCCCCCCCCCCCCGATTTGTTAAACTTTTGAATACCTTATTTTTATTGCATTCATGACTTTGATGCACGCTTTACATGCATGCTTTAGCCCTGTCATATAAGATGATAAATTTCCCTTTTGTCGCTAGCAACAAAAACAGCACCCCGAGCCTAGTATCCCAGATGGTCGCCTGCCCCTAAATCCAACCCTGTCCCAGCTGCTTGGTGCCCCTTGGTTCAAGAGAAGAAGCCACATCGTTTCCTTCAGCCATTGGATGGCAAGGAAACCCGACCCCTCTGCTTCTTAGCTCAGTTCTGACTTATTCACCACTCCCTTGGTTTTTCCAGAGCTAGCTTTCCATCAAGTTTTGTACATTCTTCCTTGTGACTGCGTGCATTGGGATGTGCCTGGGCTCAGTGTCCACAGACCTAAGCCTGGCTACTAAGGAATGACTGGGAGGTGGAAGGGAAAGTGAGTGTGGAGTATTCTGCCTTTTTATCCAGTGGAGGAAAACTTTTAGCGGTCTTTTGGGGCTTGTCTTGCAAATTGGAGTTGAAACAATTAAATAAATTGTAATTCACACCTCTAGTTATTTTGGTGCTAGTCTCCCTGAGGACACTCTTATTTCAGATTAAGAATGCCAGCCGTATTTCAATGTAATTTAAGTAGGTAACAAAATTGATTTAAATTATATTTAGGCTTGGAAGGATAAGATTTTTATTATCTGTGGTGTTCTAGATATGTTGGTCCCAGGATAGTAGGGCTAGTCTACGCTGGCAATGCTAAAGCGCCGCTGTGGAAGCGGTTTAGCGTGCCTTGTGTGGTCCGGGCGCAGCGCTGGGAGAGAGGTCTCCCAGCGCTCTTCTAAAAAAACAAAAAAACTCCACCTCAACGAGGGGGTGTAGCTCCCAGCGCTGGGGTACTGTTTACCCTGGCGCTTTACAGCGCTGCAACTTGCTGTGCTCAGGAGGGTGTTTTTTCACACCCTTGAGCGAGAAGGTTGCAGCGCTGTTAATTTCCAGTGTAGACAAGCCCTTAGACTTTATCTACACTGCCAATTGAACAACACAACTTTTGTTGTTCACAGGTGCTTAAAAAAGCCGCGCCCCCCCCCCCCAAAAGACACAAGTTTTGCTGTGGCAAGGGGGCAGTGTAAATGGCTCGTTGTCGGCAGGAGTGCTCTCCTATTGACAACGCAAACCCCACTCATGGGAGGTGGAAGTATTTTGTCTGAAAAAGTGCCGACAAACCACTTTTACACTGCCTGACTTTTAATGACGCGGCCATGTCACTAAAAGCTGTGTAGTGTAGACAAACCCTTAGTTTCCCAGACCTGAAGGAAGCTTATCTCTCTCACCAGCACAAATTTTTCCAATAAAAGATATTACCTCACCCACCTTATCTCTAAGATTTTTACCAGTAAGCTTCAGTAAATATCAACTTCACCACACAGACACAGACTGATGAAAGTATATTTAATTATCAAAATGTACAGATAAGAAATAAATTAAAAAATGTAGCTTGAGAAGTTATTAGTTTGATTTTAAGGCTATTTACTTTGCCAGTGTCACATGCCAAAATACATAAATTTGTGTTGTAACGGTTATAAAACTTTAACTTTTTAAATGTTATCATCCATTATTTTAAATGTTATCATCCATCGCACTATTGTCTGGCTCCACAAAAAATTTTTAACCGTGAAAATGTAAATAGATAAAAATGCTTAAACATAAGCATTGATATTATCCATTGAAATTATAAAAGAAATCAAATTCTGTCAAGTCTAATTATATTGTAATAGGTCACTCTTAATCTGATATACAAGTGCCCAAACACAAATTTGCACCAAAATAACTAGAGGTATGAATTGCAACTGATTTAATTGTTTCAGTTCTAGGTTGCGTGTAGATAAATCCTTAATCCATCTTTATAGCCATAATATAGTACTCCTATTGTGACATAATTGAAAAATAGCTCCTGTTCAGATTGTAAAAAGGCAGGATCGGAACACAGGATAGGAACAAGTGATATTATTACCTTATTTGCACAGTCCCAATGTTGTATTTTACAGATAAAGAAAAAGAAGATCCAGGTCCTGACAAGCTTGCAATCTAAATGGGGTGAAAGAGATGTAACAGAGAAGTAAAATGACCAAGTTAAAATCTTGTTAGTCCCAGGGTAACTCTTTATTCCACCCTACTCCTGGATTAAATATATGTTTATGTTGTGATATGAGCTAAATTAAACCATTAGCAGGTGATGCATGAGAGCAGGGCTGGATTGTTAGCGGTGGAAGGTCCTGAAATAAGTGAGTTTTACAGAGGGATGTGGTGGAGAATGAGACTGCTTGAGATACTGGAGGGTTTGGAAAATGCAAGTAGGAAGCTCTCTCCCTAATGGTGAGGGGTGGCTGTGGCACTGGGCCTGTGATTGATACATATCTCAAATATTTTTCTTTAGAAAAGAAAGTGTAGCCATTATGTTAGAGACCTGACAATTGACCTGATGCAATGCTGTCTTCCTGAGTCTCCAGTCAAATTACTCTAGCTCGTCTTCTGGCAACAGCAAAGTGAAGTGGGTGAAGTTCTGTTTGGTTTTGCTGCTGATGTTTAGAACCCTATGTGCAGCTGTGAAAATGACGATCATGTTAATCTCTGTTCCGTGGAACAGCTCTGAACAGTAGTTGAGGCGGGCTCTGGAGCTCGGTACTGTGGTAGACCCGGTGTAGGCAGGACCTGCGATATGCGGAACTCTGAAAGTATGGATGAGGAATTAATAAAATGCAGAATAAAATGAGGCAAGTGGTGGGACAAGAGAGCAGGAAATAGGGGGTGATATTATTGAAGTGATGAACAGAATAAATTCCTGCAGCATGTTGAAGGGACAACAGAGCGGGGAGAAGAGGCTGGGGAGAAGAAGGCTTCAGTAATTCAGGTGACAGAACGAGGGCATGTTAGCAGTAGGAACATAAGGGATACAGTTGGTAAGAGGTTGGATGGGCGGAAGAGGAAATGAAGATGAGATTGTGAGCATTCATGGTAGGGAAGAGTGGAGAAGAATAGAAATAAGGAAGCTGCTTTGGGATGGAAGATGTATGCATTTACTGCAGTTACTCAGACTAAGTGCGGGGCTTTTCTTCAAAGCAGAAACTGAAGGCTCTGTGCAAAACCACTCTCTCGCCACCCCAGCAATTGGATTGTCCTGGCCATTATTTAAGGCTTTCCCCCTAATGAAAGGCTGTATATAAACACACACGTGTATTACAACTTTTCTCTGTAATCTGTAGTAGCAACTGAACTTCAGTTTTCCTCTCTAGTCCTCCTACATCCTGATACAGTATTTGGCTGCTGCTAGCACGTAGTACAGGATGAGGGAATTTAGTGCATAACTGCAATACTCCGAGAAATGAGAGAACTCGTAATGCCACAGGGCAAGACTGAGCTTGTGAGCAGGACATAGATGGTAGAGAGGCAAAGTGAAATGTGTGGTTCCTGCAGAATGAGTCAGAACAAATTCTCATTGGCCTGGAAAGAAATGGGGTTGGTGTGGGAAACCAGGTATCACTGGTTTCCTCTTGGTTGCCCTTCAATTTTAAGGTTAGTAACATTGTCTGTTAAAAACTTAAGCCCTATTGGGTTCCATCTGCTCTGACCCAAGGGCAATGCAGGATATTTCCTGTTGTACACTTCCTCATGTTGTGTCCAGTTCTAAATGTCCACAACTGTGTGGCTTTCACAATTTTCCTTGGCAGACAGTTCCATTACCTAAGATTTTGCTGCCATGAATCTTTCCTGATTGATATTCAGTGGAAATGTTCTCTTTAACTCCATCCCATTACTCAGTTATTTTATTTTGGTAGTGCCTAAGGACTGACTGAAAAGGGGTGTCTGAGAGCTAGACATTGTACAGACACAGAGTAGTAGGCAGTGCCAGTCCCAAAGAGCTTACAATGTAAATAGACAAGATAGACCCAGGATAGGGAGACTGAGCAATTTGATGGTGCAATCATCATGGCAGTGTCTTTGTTTATTTTTTAAGCTCTTCTTGGTTGGGGTTTTGTTAGGAGGGGGATCAGCTAAATGGCAAGATGAGAGAGGAGGGAACAAGGGGGATAGTACAGTGGAGAACAGAGAGGAAGCCTGTCCACTACCCTAAACGCTTTCTCGCCATCTTATTCTTGAGACCTGTTTACTTTTTTTCTGTGGCATTGAATGTAGTGAAACAGTAAGGAGCTGGTACTGAGCTTCTACTGTGAGTGGCCACTTTGCTATCACGTACAATCCTGCATCACCTGCAGATCATTGCTGTCTGAGCAGATTACAGATTCATAAAGTCACAAATAGTTTGTGTCCTGAGTCCTTCAAAGACCACTTTCTCTCCCCAGGTAAAACCAGGTGAAGCCAATGGTCCTTTAGGGGCAGGGCATCTTCAGGGAAGTGTCTTTGACTCTGGCACACACTTACCTGTAGATTCACTAGAGCCCAGATCGGGGGTGGGGGGCTGGGAACAGGGCAGGAGGGCTATACTGCAAAACCAGGCTTTTTTAGGGATGGGTGGTAGACTGGGTGGGTCTCGGACCTGGACACTAGTTTCCATTTGTATATATTTGACAGATGCTCTCGGTTCTGGGCAGGGATAGATCAAATAAATGAAGTGAGA